TCTGGGGCTCTCAAGTTGGAGAAACACTGATCTAAATTCCTCTGGCCCTCGGCGTTTGCCACATATCCCCTCCCTCCTAGAAATCTGCCTGCCACCGCCAAAACACCGTGAATTCCTTAGGGAGGTGCCAGCCTCATCTTCTTGAACTTCCCACGCTCCTGTTGCAGGCTAAGAACACGCTTATCTCCCTGAGCCTGGCCTTCATAAGTCCATTCCATCACAAAAGCAGTGTTTTTCAAACTCGGCCACTTGAAGATGTGTGGGCTTAAACTCCCAGAGCAAGCTGGCTGGCGAATTCTGGGAGCTGAAGCCCGCACATCTTCAAGTGGTCAAGTTGGAGAAACACTGATCTAAATTCATCTGGACCTCGGCGTTTGCCACATATCACCTTCCTCCTAGAAATCTGCCTTCCACCGCCAAAACACTGTGAATTCCTTAGGGTGGTGCCAGTCTTATCTTCTTAACCTTCCCACGCTCCTGCTGGGGGCTAAGGAAACGCTTATCTCCCCGAGCACGGCCTTCACCAAACCATTCCATCACGCTAACTGATTTACTTCTTTATTTCCATCAACGGATATGGTCCACCATCTCACAAGCAGCGACTCTGGGAGGCTAACAATATTAAAACATCAGAAAAGCAAGCAGTCACAATAATATACATAGCCTGGCAGACAAGAACCACAGGAGTCGTGACCGTAGCAGCTGTCCCACAGGCCCCCTTAACCTCCTGACCCCCATGCTGGGAAACAGTCCTGCTCTTAGGGCTTTCTGGAATGCCAGCAGAGTCAAGGCCAGACGTATCTCAGGGAAGAAGGGGGTCCCAGAGGGCAGGCGCTGCCCCAGAAAAGTCCCCTTTACTCAGTCCCACCATATGATATTCTCAGATGGGACTGAGTAAGGGGGACTTTTCTGGGGCAGCGCCTGCCCTCTGGGACCCCCTTCTTCTCATGCCCACCTGCCTGGCCCAACGGGATGGGTAGAAACCATTGGGGAGTCTCATCGTCAGCATGAAATCTGGGTATGAGCCTTTGGTCCCTTAGCATCTCCAGCATCCAGGGGGTGTAACTCGGTTGCACGTTGGCAAGGAAAATCTGAAAGTGGGAAGGACCACCTGGAGCGAAAACCGGCTGTTGAAGTATTCCATGCATTACAGCTTAGACTAACCTTGTGTTTTTCCTGCTCTTACTGGACAATCTGGCTTACTAAACAGAGTGGGAAGCAAAGCCTGGAGCAGGCCTGACAACGACCTGGCTTTGCATGCACAGACAAAACCCGGTCCCTGAGAGGTCCGTGCTCCAGGTGCGACGGAACGCCTGCAAACCCCAACAGCATGTAGGAAGGAGCAGGACCGTTCCGGAAAAAGATTCCTGAGTCCAGGGGAGGGAGGAAATGGGAGCAAGGGACTTAACTCCACTTTCATTACGCTAGGTATAAGTTGATCTGGAGAATTGCTTTGGCAGGCTTTCGTTGTCCTGCTAGCAATCAAGATCTTTCTAAAAATCCCAGTGGTTTCTGCTTCCTGAGTTTGCCAGCCTTGAAAGCTTCCCAGCTTGTCCAGGCAGAGCAGGGAAAATATGCATCTTCCCTCTAATTGTGTTGCAGAAACGGGCTTCAGTGGCTATTGAAGAAGCTCCCTTCTGTGGATTCCTTTGGATAGAACATGGTGTGCAATGTGCATAGTGGGTGAATAATTCTCCCAAAAAGTTTTGTATATGCATAGGCCTATTTAGTTCTTCAGGACACACGCCCCATCAACCCAGTTACATCAACCCAGTTCTCAGCAGAAGGGTGGCCACTGAGTTTAGGATTGTAGAGGGTGATGCGTCGCTAGGAAAGCCCTTAAAATTGCTTTAATTATATAACAGGACACGCTATCAGCAATATTAAAAGGAGGGGTGGTTAAATAAGGAAAAAAATGTCTCTAAGCACCAGTGTCACCCCATTCCAGTGGGATACCAAGTTTTTTCTCTTTATGCCTCCAGTTCCAGGGGCATCCATTAGGGGGCAGTCAAAACAGCAAGATGGCGGCTGGAACTGTGTGATTAGGGGTGTCTGCAGGGAGCTGGATCAAGAAAGTCAAGATGGCGGCCAGGACCACGCAATTGAAGCCCTGCCCCCTTTTTACGTGCGTCACAACGCACGTAAAAAGGGGCAGGGCTTCGATTGCATGGTCGTGGCCGCCATCTTGACTTTTTTGACTCCCCCTGCATGTGATCGAAGCTCTGCCCCTTTGTCATGTCCATCACATGTCCATCACATGACAAGCTCTGCCTGTTGCCTGCTGGGACACCCTCTCCTATCCCGTGCGGAGACCCCCCTCCAGTTCTTGGAGTCAACCAGGACCACGTTCCATTCTGTTTTCTAGCTGCGTGAGAATTAAAGGGGAAAGAAGCAATAAGGGCACCGTTGCACCGTGTGCTCCAGGCCACCCAGCCAAGCAGATGATATCGATGAAGTCTCCACAAATCAGATGGCCCAGGGTTCCAAAACACCCACCCCTGTGATCACGGGGGATTTCAATATCCGACATCAGCTGGGGATCAAACTCTGTGGCCAGCGGGAGATCCCACGGGTTCTCGATGTACCTTGCAGGCAATTTCATTGTTCAAAAGTTGGAGGAGGGAATTAGGGATGGGCTGTAGAAATGGTTGGGGAAGGGGAAGGAACCGGTGGGGGGTTCTAGAACTTCTAGAATTTGCAATATCGCAGGCGGGGAGAACCAGAGAGAGCCGGACCCATTTCAAGAGTGCCAACTTCAACACACTCTGGGAAGAGGCAGGAAGAATTTTGTGGCTGGAAATGCTGAAGGGAAAAACAGTTCAGGAGGGAAATTCTGAAAAATGAGATAAAAGCAATGCCGAAGAGGAAGAAAAACGGGGGACAGCTGATGAGACCGGCTGGTAGCATAAGAAAATCTCTAATAAGTTGAGAAACAAAGAGGAATCATCATCATCATCTTCATCGTCATCGTCATCGTCATCAAACAACATCTGCCTATCCCAGGTCCTTGGGAAGGACTCAATAGGCAGATAAAAATGCCAAATCCAGTCTAAACATCTGGCTGACTGTGCGACCAACCACAATAATAATGAGAATAGCCAGTTTGGCACAGTGGTTAAGGTACCAGGCTAGAAACCGTAAGGCTGTGAGTTCTAGTCCTACCTTGGGCCCTGTTGAATTAATCATGCTGAACGTTACCTTTAAAATGCATTCCAGTTTATCTGATTTCCTTAAAGTTAAGTATGTTTATGACATTGCACTGGGAGAAGACATAGATGTGCGTGCAGGCAAAAAATGCAACTGCAAATAAAAATAAGATCAAATCTATCAGTTCTGCAGCATTTTTCAAAAAATTAAATGTGTTCAAAGCCAAAAAGAAGAAGAGACGCGCTAAAACAATGACATGCGATGAATAAGGAATTCGAGGGGGAAAAATCTCTCTTTTCTTGAGTGAAAAGCAAAACAGCCTTATTGGGGGGGGGGCTGAATTGAGCCAATTTCCAGGCTAGTTCTGTACTATGGGGGATGCCCCTTCGAGGCTTCCTTCAATCCTGCTGGGTTTGGGGGGTCTTTTAAAATCTGCTTGGGGATCTCAGCCCAGTCTCCCTGTTTCAGCCTAGCAGATATTCCAGAAGAGGCTTCGGCTGCCCCCGGCGCGGAGCGTCCTCAGGACCCAGCTGCTGCTTCTGCGACTGGCAAAGACCCTGCGCCCGGACACCCCAGCCGCGAGGAGGCGGCCCCAGGGCCAGCAGCAGAGCCCCCAAGCCCCGCAGCCAAAGAGGGCCACAGGGCTTTGGCTGAGGAGCCCCCTCCTCTTCCTGCTCCCGATGCTGCTGGGGCCCCTCCGTCTCCTGGAAGCCAAGCTGCCGCCAGCTCTCCAGACCCTGAGGCCGGCCCCTACCTCACTCCGGACTTTGGCAAAGAGGATCCTCTGATCCTGGGTAAGGTTGTCGGAGCTGCCGGCTTCAGGCCCAGGTTAGAGCAGGGCTCTGGTGGAATGAGATGGCGTCCTTTTGCAAGTTTCTAGTCCCTATTGTGACGGCAGGCCACAGCCGGCTTAATCTCAGCATCTGAGTAGCAGGAGCCAGAGAGCGGGAGCCAATTATAACGAGCTAAGCAAATGCCCGCCTATTTACTTCGTTACTGTAATGCATCGTTGCAAAAACCTGTTTTGCGGGCACAGGGTTGGGGATGGGGCGATGCAGAGTTTAAAGCGCGAGATGCGTCACGGTTGCGAAGAAGCCAAGGAAGAGACACAGCAGCCTGATATGCCAAAGGTGGGCCACTATTATCCTTCAGCAATACAGACATTGGCCTCCAAGGAGCGCTGCCCGCCCAGGGATGTGAGGATACCCTCAAGTCAGGGACAACTCCTGGTGGTCTCCCGTTCAGTTCCAACCAGATCCAACCCTGCTTAGCTTTTAAGCCCAGACAAGGTCCGCCAACCTTCTGCAAGGAAGGGAAAGCCTTTCTTGTGCTGAACTTGACCGCTGGTAACTATATGGATGTGTTAGAGCAGGGTTCCTCAACCTCAGCAACTTTAAGATGGGTGGACTTCAACTCCCAGGATTCCATTTGTGCCTGCCACCGGTTCAGGGTATCGTGGATTTGTGCCTGCCACCGGTTCAGGGTATCGTGGATTTGTGCCTGCCACCGGTTCAGGGTATCGTGGATTTGTGCCTGCCACCGGTTCAGGGTATCGTGGATTTGTGCCTGCCACCGGTTCAGGGTATCGTGGATTTGTGCCTGCCACCGGTTCAGGGTATCGTGGATTTGTGCCTGCCACCGGTTCAGGGTATCGTGGATTTGTGCCTGCCACCGGTTCAGGGTATCGTGGATTTGTGCCTGCCACCGGTTCAGGGTATCGTGGATTTGTGCCTGCCACCGGTTCAGGGTATCGTGGATTTGTGCCTGCCACCGGTTCAGGGTATCGTGGATTTGTGCCTGCCACCGAATCCTGGGAGTTGAAGTCCACCCATCTTAGAGTTCCCAAGGTTGAGAAACCCTGGGTTAGGGAGCTGGGAGCAAGTGAGATGTGCTGAATTTGTTTTTCTCGAATGCAATGTGTGCACTGGAATCTGTACGTGCGAAGGGCCCAGATGTATGTGTGAATATATATACAGTGCACATCTATGACATGCACACGTGGGTGTCTGTAAGTTTCCTCTTCTTTTGCACTTTTATTAAACAGTAAGGGAGATGCCTAAACAAGGAAAGGGAACATGAAGGAAAGTACAATTGAATCCATGAGGGATTTTAAAGAAGTCATCCAGGTTATAATTTTCCAGTCTAACATGAATTAGTTGTAAAGAACGAAGCACATTATTTTGCTTTAACAAATCGGGAATCACTCTTCAGCCCTCAGCTAAGAATGGACATCGAGCGCTGAGGTCAACGCTGCATAAATCACCCAGGAAAGCTGGAAGCTGTAATGCTTTTGATCCAGAGTACTAAAAAGCTGCTCTTTTAGATATTCCGTAGAATTAAAATACAGACTCTGTGCATAGAGAATAGAAAAAATTTGGATGTGGCACAAATAACTCTCTTAAGCTGCAATGGAGGAATGGTTTCTACTTTAAACGGACTTCTGTGTCAGGCTTACTTTTAAGGGACGAAGCGATGCTAGACCTTGAAGCAGATTCCCACAATTTAGTTAGCCATTCTTCTGTTGAGGGATCAGAGGAACTTTCCAGTAAAAAGCATGTAATATCCTTGCAGCTGTTAAGAAAATACAGTGTTTCTCAACCTTGGCAAAGTTAAGAAGGGTGGACTTCAACTCCCAGAATTCTCTAGCCAGCATGCTGGCTGGGGAATTCTGGGAGTTGAAGTCCACACACCTTAAAGTAGCCAAGGATGAGAAACACTGGCACAGTGTGTTTCCTCTTTGATATGCCCCACTTCAAGTCAAGCAGCACTAAAAAACTAAAAATGCACATTGTGACTTTGGACACCCTGGAAAAAGTGAGAAATGAGTTGGGCAGTCTTTGCAGGCTATCACACATAATATCAGGCAGAGGTTCAGTCCCATCATCACCGCGGCCCTCTTGACTTTTTTGACCGTACGCTGCTGACGCCACCCCGGCAGCCAAGTGCCTGCTGGAGGGCAGGGGGGCGAGCATCTGCTTCCGTTGCAGATATCATGTGGAATGATCCATTATTTTAAAATTCAGAGCTCCTGCTGTTTTAGGGGTGGGAAGGGGTTTCCTATGCAGAGAGACCCCGGAGTTGAGTTGAGGGAAGGTGGCCAAGCTGGAATTAGCCTTGAATAAGGGTGAGCAACAGGGTCGTTTTTATGTTTTCAACTGGCCTCCAAAAACTGCTGGGGGGGGGGGAGAGTCAGAAACCCAATAGTTTATTATTATGGTTGGTCGCACAGTCAGCCAGATGTTTAGACTGGATCTGGCTTTTTTGTCCACCTCTCGAGTCCTTCCAAGGATAGGCAGATGTTGCTGTCTGATGGCGTGAAAAGCATCGTCGCAGGATGGAAGCTGTTCTAAGCCTTTTGCAATTGATTGATGGTGATTTTGTTGATGCCGAGGGTTTTCAAGGGGTGCTCCAGATGTTTTGGATTGCACCCAAGGCACCTGTTACTGTTTGTACTATCTCTGCTTTCGTTTGCCACAGTCGTCCTACTTCTATTTGCAGGTCTTTGTATTCTGTGCTTTTCTCCAGTTCTTCCTCTTCTCTTCTGCTGTCTCCAGGTATTGCAAGGTCCAGTGTCCACTGTCCACTGTCCAGACTGTTTTGTCTTTCTTATCCACAACGGTTGAGTCTGGGGTGTTGTGTGGCAGGTGCTGGTCTGTTTGAATCCCAGAGTCCCAGAGCACTTGAGCTTCTTCCTTTTCGATGACTTTGTCCGTTTTGGGGCCCCAGCAGTTCTCGCTTGCAGGCAGATGGTATTTCTTGCAGATCTTCCAATGCACCACTGTTGCTACTTTGTCATGCCGTTGTTTGTAGTCGGTCTGTGTGATCTTCTTGCAGCAGTGACTAGGCGATCCACTGTTTCTTCAGCTTCTTTGCCCAGGCGGCATTTTCTGTCTGTTGCTGTCTCCTCGATTCTGGCTTTGTATGCATTTGGTCTTG